CCACCTTCACAGCTCACTTAAAAACATGGTTCACTGAGAACGACACCTGCACACACTAGCCTGTGTTGAGTATGGCGTGAGTGTTACATGTTGTGATCATGGATGTTGCCCCTCGTTTCTGTTATGTGATTGTGACATGTACTGTATGTAGTAACGTGTGTTGTTTATTGTTCTCTTTTATCCTCACACCGGTATCTACTTGTCTTTCCTCCTTTTTATTTTATTTTATATATTTTCTTATAACTAATGCTGTTGATAAATTGTAATTTTAAGGGTGTCTATTACCATCTGGCCGGGGACAACAGCTGGAAATTAGCCATGTCGGCTAAAGCTGCACCATTTACTGTTTTTGTGACAGTTCATCGATGGGGACTGTCCACGAGACTATAAATAAATAAACCAAACTAAACTTAACAGATGTATACCGTCATTGGCGGCTGACTCATCACCTTCTCAGGTGACTTACCTCGGCAGTTGCAGATCACATTTTGGCCTTGGTGTCTCAACAAAGTGATACATTTGGTCTTATTCAAAACAGGAGCATCTGTAGATTAGTTCTATACTCCATTATGTTATGATCCATTAAGTATGGCACAGTTCAAAAACCTGCTCTTTGTTATCTCACCAACATCTTAAGTGTAAGAGCCTTTCATTTTCAGGAAACAAATACATCAAAAGTGGAACAAAAGAAAAGAGGACCAACCAGGGGACGACAATACTCCACATTGACATCATTTGTTTTAGAACTATAAATATCTTGCCAGATAAATCTCTAATAGAAAGTCGATTTGAAATTAGTAGCAATTTCTGTCTGAAGATCCTGGCACTAATAAGAAACATCACAATAATACCGAAGACAACTCTTCCAACTATTCATCAAATCATATTTGAAATGAAGTAAATCATTTCTCCTTTAGCATTGAAGGACTCCTCACCTGGAAGAGGTAGCTCTCAGACCCCACCAGCGCCACAAGGCCATTGACGGCAGCCAGCCGCTGCATTGTGGGACAGCCCTGAAACACACAGCCAATCAGAACATTGGGGAAGTACATTTATTTTGCAGATAAAGTTGAACCTTTAAACAGCAGGAATCCTGGCTACTTTCAGATGTCTTAAAGGAATAAGACCTACATCGATTAGTTGACTTCGATCAACAGGAAAATAATCGGTTACTTTTTGATAAATGATTAATCGTTTGAGTAATGTTTCATGTTCAATTATACGGTTATTCATTGTATTTTAAGAGGCCCCACAACAACAGGCTAAGGGACTGTTAGTGAAAACAAGCCTGTTTTGAATGTTAATTATTGTGCATTCTCTAAAGAAGAAAACAAATCAGCTTTTTACGGCTTCATTTAATAATAAATCATTTAAGACATCACCTTACACTTTGATCAACCGGGATAGACCTGTTTTTAACAATTTGATGACATTTTAAAAACAATCCGTTTTTTTAATCCTAAAATAATCAGCTGATTGATAGAGAATAAGCGTTTTCATCAAGTGAGAGAAATTCTTCACTATGAGAACCCCCCCTTGAAGAGATGTAGTAAATACATGATCTAATCAGAGAGGGCAAAATTAGACTCAAGTAGAAGTACAGGTACTCGTGTTTAAAAGTACTCTGGTAAAAGTTGTACTGACTAAACGTCTTTACTCAGGTAAAAACAAAGAAGTATAGGCTTTGAAATATACTTCAGTAAAAAGTAGCCATAACTACCATCTGTTTTATAGAACATCTCCCTCATATATGGCCGTGGGTCATTAGGAATGTTACATTTTCATTTTTTCACTTGTTAGACGCTTTTATCCAAAGCGACTTACATACATTCAGTACTGTGGGCAATCCCCACAGGAGCAATTTGGGGTGAAGTGTCTCAGGGACAGAACGACATGCTGACTGCAGTGGGACTCAAACTTGCTATCCCCTGATTCGAAGGTTCAGCGCTCTATCCACTGAGTCACAGCCTCCCACGTCTCTGTCCTCAGTCGTCTCAATAACTTCACCTGTCTCTGCCTCTTCCCTAACATTAGCCTTTTTTCCTGCTGCTTTCTGCCTTGCCCCGTTGAAATAGCTTCATAGGCTACTGGCACAGTTTGAGATAACGCGCCGCAAGTTGCTTCCTACTGAAGGATAATGGGAAACGCTTCGAGCTAAGCTGCCATTGGTCCCTCTTCTTTAGAGGAAACCAAGAAATGATGAATGCACAGATCGTGTTTTCTGTATGACATCAGGGTGGAAATAGGAGAGCAATGACTATAATGATGATCATGCCACGAATGATTAAAAATAAATGAATGAGCCTGAAAATAAATAGTGGAGTAAAGTACTGATACCAGAAACATCTACATCGTACACTAACAAAGTATTTGTACTTCATTACTTCCCACCCCTGTATATAGAGCAGCAGTACATAGGAAAATAATTCAAAATATGTAGTACCTCTGCCAGGAGGATCTTCACCCAGGCAGCCAGCAGGCGGGGCTGGATGTCCTCGGCCTTCCCGTGGCCGGACATGGACAGGCCGTGCACCACCAGCCCCAGAGCCAGGGAGAAGCCTGGGGTCTGGACAGAACATTACAACGCAGAGACACAGGGGTTAGAACAGGGGGGCTCATTTTGGTTCAGGGGACACATACAGACAAATCTGATCCCCAGTGGGCCGGAGCAGTGACATCACAGCATAATAACCTCTGAGTTACCACAACTCCTTCCCTTTGTCTGAGTGCGAAAAAGTACATTCTGAAAATGTTCACATTTAATTAACTATCTTTTTAAAAAACATTATGAACAACCTGACATTCCTTAAGATAAATAGGTGTACCACCACCATAATAACTACAGTGGGAACTAGTAAGGAAGAAGGTTAGGTTATCACCCTGCCTTTGTAAATAAAATGAATACATTCAAAATACATAAAAGTTGTGAAAATTGCAATTAATGTCTTCTCTAATTTTTACAGTTTACAAAGCCAAACAATGCCTTTTGGAATATATATTAAACTACTATAACTCAGTGGTTTTCGTGGCATCATCTCTCAGTAATGGTGCTGCTGACCTGCTGGCTCTCCTCGGTCAGGGTGCGCAGAGAGGTCATAACCTCCTCAGCCTTGGCAGCGTCTATGATGTCTGCGCTGAAGGCCGATACACACACACACGCCACAGAGTACGCCAACACCTGCCGGATACACACATGTTCAAAGACAAAAATGATAATACCATTACACAACCATACATCTTTTTCTGATATGAATTCAGGCTTTCTTTATCTAAAGTATACCATACACCAGGCCTATTCAACTGGCGGCCCACGGGCCAGATGCGGCCCAGAACCAACTCCTGAGTGGCCCAGTCTCCCGCAGCCAAATTCCTACAATAGTACAGACCATGAACGCAACACTCCGGGTTGCATAGAAACCACCAAACCACAACGCAGCACGTTTTTTGAAAGTGCATCTAGTGGTGCTAGTAACGGTGGTCCTATGATAGCAACTCTAAAACATGTCTCTCTCAACTCTGAAGCGTAAACAGAGACAAAACGGTCATTGATCTTGTGGAGCAGATCCAAGTCAAGCTGGACCTTTTCGCGACCGACTTGAGCACGGGTCGGATACTGCATTTTCCGACGCTCCCCAAACACATCACATCTCCGGCACAAATCACGGATGTGATGACAGATTTCATTGCGAGGTTGAAAGAGAACTTTGCCGGTCGATTGGATGGACTTGCTCTGCCCACAGAGGTGATGATGGGCTTTGCCAGAGACCCCTTCACTGTTGCAATAGAGGGGGACGTATCAACCAGAACAAAGGAAGTGGTCCCCTGCATCGACAAGGGGAAATATACACTGGAACTTATTGACATGCAGCGCACTAACGGGTGGCCAGAAACCTTGGATACAGAAACATGGGAAACAAGTTTTCCGCACGAACTCAATCAAAAGTAGCACTCACTGCTCCCTGACTGACAGCACTCTTCACCATTGTCTTAGGATTGCATTGACATCCTATGAGCCAAAAATCACTGCTCTTGTTCAAAACAAAAATGTCCCTTCTCCCATTGAGAAAGTCAGCGATGACAAATCACAAATGAGGTGATAGTAAGC